TATTTAGTTTTTTTGTTAATACAAATGATAATGACAATTCCCTTTTGGAAGTGAGTTTCAGGAGAAAATAATGAATCATAAAACAAAATTAATTAATCGGCTTTATTGGGAGTTTTTCACCCAAATATCGTTTCTATATATTTTTGTTCTAAATTTAAAGCAAGTATAAGGTGAGGGCATAATAAACAGGACTGTTTGAAAATAAAAACAGCAAAAAGTATCTTTGGCTAAACCGATTTATTTTATTCAAGATAGGCCGCTACCGACTCAATACAGCGATTGTACGATCAAAATGCATGTCGAATGAGTGTTTTGGATCGTCAGCTGGTATGTCCTTGAGAATGTCGGTACAAGCCGTTTGGATGGCTTCTATGTCCACAAAACACTTTCCTTTAATCGACAAATGCATTTTTCCGAGAAGGTAAAAATCGCACAGTGCCAAATCAGACGAATACAGGGAGTGGTTGACAGTTAAATAGCGATTTTTAGTTAAAAAATCTGACACAATACGATACACCAAACGCTTCAAAACGCCAAGATAGAATTGTGTATTAACGATTTGGCCCGGTGTAACGAACTCTTTGTGGACAATGCCCTTGAATTCGTAACAGCAAATCAGCATTGTCGTCACTTTTGACTTCTCCAAACGAGACTTTTTGGGTTTTGGCTCATCTGGCGCCTTCCACTTGGTACTTTGGTAAGTTGTTTATGCTAAATCCTGAGCAATTTTTGTGCGAAATTAACCATGCGCACACTTTTCGCTAGCCCAAATGTTCTGCCAAAATGTCAATAAATCAATTACAATTGTATGAATTTCAATGAAGATCTGATCTTTGATGAGTTCCTGCACAGTTTTGATGGAATCTACGATCACGGATTTTGGTTGGCCAACATGTTACTCATCATTTATGTTCTCACAACCGTTTTTAAGCCGCGTATACCACTCATTAACTCTGCCATGGGATAAACAATCATCACCATAAACTTGGTTCATCAATTGAAATGTTTCGTTACAAGTTTTACCAGGTTTTTAACAAAACTTAATAACATCTTCGTCCAAAAATATCGTGAAATTTTGACAATACATCAGTGAAGGATCTATCTTTCTGATGCATGTATTTGCCAATAGATGGCCTCACTAGAAATACCTATTTTTGAAAAGTCCTGTTTACTTTGGACTGCAATTTGTATAGGTATTACGTGTAAAAGCATACCAGGAACTTTATCTTCCTCACGACTAAAACACTAACAACTCCCTTTAGGCTTTTTTCTTGTTGATTATATTAACTTTATTGGGGATAGGTATTATACAAATTTCCACATGTGAAATATAATGTGGCTTTCTGGAGCATGTTCACTTTGCTCATAAAAAATATTATGAAAATTTTTGGAAATTATTAACTAGGACTAATTTCACAAAGAAACGTTTGTCGCAATATGATGCTCCCCGTTTATGAGAAAAGTAAATTATTCTAGTTTATTAAAAGCTTACATAACCCAGCTTAACTTTATAAGAACATTGATGTCATCTATCTGTCAGAATTCGACAAATTGCTTCTCACTATTTATTTATTTATTTTCTATAGATTTACCTACTGTAAATATGAGAAATTGTCAAGCGTAAATGTAAATACAGACAAACATATAAAACAAGCAATTAAATACAACTAATAAACTAATAAACTACAACAACTACAAATAATAGTATATAGATAGGTATACATAAGAAATAGCTTTAAAAACCGACAATACATGTAAAACAAATTTAAAATTTAAAATGGTCCCTAACGCCAGTCCAAGAGATCGCTAGTGAGGTATTCCTCTACATTGTAAAAAGAATAATACTTTAATAATTTTTTTACTTCGAATTTAAAAGGTATAATATTTGAAATATCTTGGATATCATGAGGCAGATGATTATATAATTTGAGTGACATTTTTGCAGACGATTTGGAGACTTGGGTAGTTCTACAGTACGGTATGTGTAGTATGTTTGAATTTCTTAATTCGTATGGATTCAGATCACCTCTCTTCGGGAATTTTTCTAAATTTGTTTTTATATAAATTACGCAATTTAAGATATACAAGGAATAAACTGTTAAAATTCCATTTTGTTTAAAATAAGATCTACAGGAACTATTACGTTTTAAATTGAAAATATTTCTGATTATTCTTTTTTGCATTATAAAAACTTTATATAAACTACTACTGCACCCCCAACAGATAACTCCATAATTTAGCACAGGTTCAATGCAACCGTAATAGTACAGTTTCAAAATTTCTAAACTGAGGCTTCTTTTTATACTCCAAACAACATAATTTTTTGTAGCTAATTTTTTCAGAATTCCATCTATATGAAAATCCCATGAAAGGTGATTATCAAGGTGCACTCCCAAAAACTTAACAACATCATTTTGCAGTAAACTTCCCGTTGAAGACTTAATTAATAAGCTATAGTCGTCCCGTGTACCAATAGATGAAAATTTTATAAAACTTGTTTTTGTCAAATTCAGCACTAGTCCATTTTGACAACACCATTGCTCCATTTGAGCAACGCATTCCTCCGATAATTTACATAAATCCCGCTCTCCGTTTGAGCTAATTAAACAAGATGTGTCGTCTGCAAATAACGAGCTAGAACAAGTGACACCAAGTCTTAGGGGAAGGTCGTTTATAAATAAAATAAATAGAGTTGGGGCTAATACACTCCCTTGTGGCACCCCGGTGGCCACAGAAAACTTTTTTGATAAATAAACATCACTCCCATCTTTAATCCTTACAATTTGGCTTCTATCGCGTAGATACGATGATATCCACAATAGCGGTAGGCCACGAATACCATATTTCTCAAGTTTATTGAGTAAGTGAGTATGATTAATGACATCAAAGGCTCTCGATAGATCATAAAATATGCCGATGGTTTTTTGGTTTTCATTGATTGACTCGATAATATTGCTACAAAATGACATTAGTGCATCCTGGGTCGAGCGACCTTTAACAAACCCATATTGATTTTCAGATATAAGATTATATTTAAAAATAAAAGAGCTTAATCTTTGTAGGTAAGCTTTCTCATAAATTTTTGAAAATGCTGATAGCAATGCAACGGGTCGATAATTTTCTATTTTACTAATATCATCTTTTTTATGAAATGGCACAATCATTGCACACTTTAATTGATAAGGGAAATAACCGTTTTCAAATGAAATATTTAACAAATAAGTGAGAGGGGTTAGCAGGAGATCTGAAACCTCTATTAGTAATGAACACGGAACGTCGTCTATTCCAGCTGATCTTTTCTCTGAAATTTGCTTGATTATCATATATACTTCATTAATTGATATATCAGATAAGAAAAATGAATTTGGGTTAGAGGATATATCGATTTTTTTACTTATAGTTGTTTTGGAAACCAAAGATTGAATCGAATTTATAAAAAATTCATTGAAATTGTCGACCATATGTTTTCTGTCGTCAATTATTTCGCCTTGTACTTGTATCTGGCCTGGAAGTAAGTAATACACAACAGTATAAAAATCAAAATCCACTTCAACAACTGTCAAATATAATACTAGCTATAGGAACTATTATTTACATAGAGTACTATTTGTAATTGGCTTCTAAACTTTTCTCCTAAAACATAAAAGTTAAACAGGTTTAAAAGTAAATTATAAACATTTTCGGTATAACGCGATAGATTGTAAATACAGAAAATGATTGATATAAAACATTCTTAGCTGCTTTACCTAATACAAATTACCTTATTGCTCTTTTATGCTTACTTAGTTGTTAATTTGTATATTTATGTTAGTTAACTATAGATTTTAGATTTACTTTTTTTTTCTGTTACTGTATTACTGTTACTGAGGGTGCCACAAGGAAGCGTACTGGGCCCTTTGCTTTTTTCACTTTATACTGCGGATCTTCCTAATATTGTTAAACATGTGAATACTCATCAATATGCGGATGACTTCCAATTATATTTTCACTTTCCGTTAAGACTTTTGGATTCTTCGGTTAAAAAAAATAATGATAATGTGAATAGTATTGTATCGGTATCTCAGGCATTCTTAAATGGTGCAAAAACTGTGCTACTTGTTGTTGGTAAACATAAAGACTTAATTAGTTCGAACCCTCGGTTCAAAATATCTGTAAATGGAAGTGTCGTAAGTCCATTTGATTGCTGTAAAAACTTAGGGGTTTATATGAATGAGAATCTTAGATTTTTTAATCATGTTAACTTTTTAATACAAAAATCCTATGCTAAATTACGATCACTCCATGTATATAAGGATTATATAACGTCGGATATCAAAGTAAGGTTATGTGACTCCTTAATACTGAGTAATCTAGCCTAGTGTGATACTGTTTATTGGCCTGCCATTCTAAACAAGGACACGGAAAGCTTACAGAAAATACAAAACGCATGTATTAGATTTTCAAATAGTCTGCGCAAATTTGATCACATTAGCGCAAAATTTAAACAATCTAAATGGCTTAATTTAGATGAACGCTTTCAAATAAGAATGGCTTGTCTAGTATACAAAATTGTCAATACGAAGACACCTAAGTATTTATATGATAAACTTCTAAAGGGCAGAGATATCCACAGTTGTTTTACCCGTCACAATGATCTGTATGTCTCCTCACTCTTTCACAGATCTTTTAGTTATAATGTTGTACTTATATATAATAAAATACCTCGAGCAATTAAATCTTGCAGTAATATTATTTCTTTTAGGAAGTTGGTCAAGTCCAATATATATGAGAAATGAATCTCATCAAAATTGTTTTTGTCTCTTTTCATGTACATAAATAGATTACAGAACTAGCATTGATTATTATTATTGATTTAATTGTTTAATTCAAACGAGCTGTTGACGATATGGCAACTTACAAGTAAAATAAAATTCAAAATATAATGATCTGAAATGCAAACCATTTCCCTACATTTAATAAAAAAGCTAATTTATTAGTAAGAGCTAATTTTTGTATTTCAGCAATTTGCGGAGGTGATTTAACTATAGACACTGAGGGTCACCTTGAATCGCCCAACTACCCAGAAGAATACCAACCGAATAAAGAATGCATTTGGAGGATAACAGTAACTGAAAACCACCAAGTTGCGTTACGCTTCCAATCATTCGATGTAGAAAACCATGACAGTTGCGTCTATGACTACGTGGAAATCAGAGACGGTTTGTCGTTGCAGAGCCCTATTATAAAAGTTCATTGTGGTCAAAAGGTTCCATCGGATATAATCTCCACATCCAGCGAGATGTTGGTTAAATTTGTATCTGATGGATCAGTTCAGAAGGGAGGATTTTCAGCTACCATAATGAAAGAATACGATGAGTGTTCCAAGATAGACCATGGATGTGCCCAGCAATGTGTTAATACTTTAGGAAGTTACGTGTGTACCTGCAGGATTGGATTCGAGTTACACTCTGATGGTAAAAATTGTGAAGGTATGTTTCTGTTCTTCTGTTTTACTATTACACAGAGTGAGGCTAACAAATCAACATATTTGCCCGGAAGCTCTTCAGTTTCAAGGTTCAAAGTATTAAAATATGTCTCGGTGTCTTAAATATGATCCCCAAATGCTTCCTTTCTGAGATAAAAGTTGTTTGAACTTAAAAGAATAATAATAATTACAATAAATGACTGAAACGATTTCATTCCAGTTCTTTATAGACTTCTCTCTTATTGCCCATAGTCTGTGCCTGCTACGGATTTTTTTCTTCAATCTATTTAAAATTCGACTGGCTATTATGATAGCGCATCAAAGGCTGCACAAAATTTATACTTGCTGTTTCTTGTTAAACGTATCTTTCTAAGAATAATAATTTAAAACATGTTAGACCAGTATTGCTGAAAATCTTATACAAATAATCAATGTTAAATAATAATTAACAATAATAATAATACAAGTAGCCAAGTTTTCGAAATTTTCCTACGATCTTTGAGAAATATATAAAAAAAATTAAAATGTTGCATAAATACTCACAAATTCCGTGGCATTCTTGATTTTATCTATTAGACAGGGCCAGCAAATAAAACAAAGTACTTTGCAAACTGTCAAATCAAATGTATCTGTTGCTATAATCACAAAAGAGAGTGAAAACAGACAAATATATAACTAGCTGTTCCATATAAAAATCACAAATTGGTTAATATCTCTGAAACACAACGTTCAATTGTTTTATACGTTTTTATTTGAGACCACAAGAAAATGTCCTGAAGCTTAGGAATTTTTTTTGTAGATAGAATTATACATGCATTTTAATTGTCAGTGTTGCGGGAAACAACTACTCCGAGGACTATATGCCCCTACCGGCATTGAATTATACTCGCAACACCTAGTGCAACAGCTAGGGTCGGTCGTCATCAGTTTAACCCACCAAGCACAGACCGGTTTCGGACTTATTAGTCCTCATCAGTGTGTCATAGGTGGGACAACCGACGAACGAACCAGCTGTTTTGCGTCGTTCCCGCGTACAATGTATTTCCTTGTCGTGACGATACGACGCAAAAGAGCTGGTTCGTTCGTCGGTTGTTTCACCTAAGGACTAATAAGTCCGAAACCGGTCTGTGCCTGGTGGGTTAAACTGACGAACGACCCTAGCTGTTGCACTAGCTGTTGCGAGTATAATTCAATGCCAGTAGGGGCATATAGCCCTCGGAGTAGTTGTTTCTCGCAACACTGACAATTAAAACATTGTCTTCGCTCTCTGTGGGTGGCAGTCGTGCAAAAAGTACTTGTAATATAGCAGGTCGCTTCCTACTGTAGCTATTTGAATGGCACAGTTGGGAGTCAGCCCGACAAATGGAGCCATTTGCGCTCCCGCGTACATTGTACATGCATTATTTAATTAGTTATAAATATTCCGAAAAGAAAGAACTATACAAATCGTAATAAGTAAGTCATTAACACAGTACTATTTGTTAACAAAAATTAAACATATTTTTCAGATGCATGTGGCGGAGTGTATGACGTACCTAATGGAACAATCACGTCCCCTTCCTTCCCAGATTTCTATCCTCTTAATAAAAACTGCGTCTGGGAAATTGTTGCCTCGCCACAGTATAGGATTACCTTAAATTTTACTCATTTTGATCTGGAGGGCAACAACAATGCCCAACAACAACAGTGCGAATATGACAGAGTGGACGTTTATAGCAAACAAAAAGAAGGCAAACTTAAAAAGCACGGGTCTTATTGTGGATCAAAAGCTCCTGGGTTAATAACTTCTGAAGGAAACGTCATGAGAATTGTGTTTTACTCTGATACAAGCATTCAGAAAACAGGATTTTCGGCTGTATTTATAACAGGTATGTAATCTTTTGACAAAACAGTCTATACAAAATAACATTTTCATAATTGTGTGTTGAAACTAATTGAATAATAACAATTTTAATTTTTATAATTTCTTTTCAGATGTAGACGAGTGTGCTATAAATCACGGAGGCTGCCAACATGACTGTATGAACACCCTTGGATCGTACATCTGCACTTGCCATAATGGTTACACTTTGCACGAAAATGGACGAGACTGTAAGGAAGGAGGTTGTAAACATGAGATAACCGATCCCTATGGTCCATTAGGTAGTCCAAACTATCCCGATTATTACCCGGCACGAAAAGACTGCGTTTGGCATTTGACAACCACCCCCGGACACAGAATCAGAATATCGTTCCAAACATTCGAGCTGGAACCACATCAAGAGTGTTCATACGACCATCTTGATTTTTACGATGGGCCGTCACCAGAATCACCGTCGCTAGGAAGATTCTGTGGATCAAAACTTCCACATTCAATAATATCTTCAGGAAACCAGCTGTATATGACATTTAGGTCCGACGCCTCTGTTCAAAGAAGTGGTTTCTGGGCAACCCACTCCACTGTCTGTGGAGGAATGCTACAAGCCACGTTAGAAAAACAACATATTTATTCTCACGCAAAATTCGGAAGAGCCAGTTATGAAAATAGGGCGGATTGTGACTGGACCATAGAAGCTATGGTCGGATATAACGTTAAATTATCTTTTTTAACTTTTGATATTGAAGACGAGAAAGAGTGCGGGTACGACTACGTTGAGATCTTTAGCGGTTTAGATTCCAGTGGGCCTTCATATGGAAAATACTGTGGGACAAAGGTAACCTGTTAAATAATTTCAAATTAAAGTTACATTGTGGTTGCTATTCAATAAAATTTGTTTTAAGTTACGTTAAAGCTTCAACAAAAAATACTGGTCATTTCCCATATTTATACAACTTTGATTTTACGATTAATACATATAGATAGATACATCCAAGTCAAGAAAATATATATGTAGATATAAAGGGTGTTCTAATATTCACGCAAGAAGTAATTTTCACAGAAAACACAAAACAAGTTTTTAATTAAAAATTGTAAATTTTTTATTGATTCATAAGTTATGCAGTATATGCATGTATGGAATAACATGGCGTGGGTTGTCGTGGGCTTGTTGGCATAAACCTTAGACTTCAAAAAATAACAAAGAAAGTCCAACGGCATTATATCGCATAATCTGGGCGTCCAATCTGGTCACCAAAACGGGAAATTACAAGACCAGGAAATGACTCATGCAATAACTGAATTGTTTCTCGGGCTGTATGACATGTAGCACCGTCTGCGTCTTGCTGAAACCACATGTCGTCTACATTCATAGCTTGCAATTTAGGCATAAAGAACTGGATTATCAAGTCGTGATAGCGAGCACTATTAACTGTGGTCAAGCAACCAGTCGCATTTTCGAAGAAGAATTTATCCATGATGTCTCCATCCCAAAAATGGATTCATTTGTATCTCAACAATCACTTGTGGATTTTCTGAATCTAAAATGAGACAATTTTATCGATTAACGAGATGAAAATGAGCATCCACTTGTTTTCTCATAATCTATTCTCTTCGCCTTGCATGGTCTGTAGGCTTCAGTTTTTGAGTCAATTGAATTTTGTAAGCATTAAAATACAAATCTTTTGTGAGAATACACTGTAGAGAGCTTCTCGAAATGTCCAATTCTTCGTCACGGTGTCGAGTTGATGTTCCTGGACTCTCACCAACATTCTCACGCACTGCTTCGATGTTTTATGTTGAACGATCTGTTAAAGGACGGCTAGAATGTTTAAGATCACTAATTTTTCAATTAATTTCTTTACGTTGATGAAGATAAATCACTATTTCGACCGTACGAAAATTCCGAACTGCAGCTGCCAAACCTTCATTATTTAAAAAAAAAACAATGCAAACGCGTTGTTCTTTCCTGTAGCGCTGCAATTTTAATAAACCTAGACTCGCGCCATTATTTCATGGCTAGAAATTGGCCTCAATGATTTGGGATCGAGGGGGATTATCCCTCTTTATCCTGCCTCATCTCGTGTAGGCCTGGACAGCCTTCGTAGGTGGGCCCCATCCGTCGTCTACCCCGACCGCAAATGCGGCCGGTGTAGGCGCTTTGTGGGACCTCCTTTTGTCCTGGCTGGGCCCCGCCGGCTAGGGCCCTTTCTTCTGGCGCTCTTCTTGCTTCGCCGGCTCGTCTGTGTAAACCCCGGGGGTAGTGTCATGTTTATGTGTGGTATGGTTGGGTAGGGTAGTGCGGCTATGCAGCCTGGGATGCGCTTTGCTAAGGTGGCCCTTAGGCTAGCGCGGGAGGGGAGGGTTAAGGAGGGTATGGGGGGTGTGTATGTGTGTGTGTGTGTGTGTGTGTCGTTGTCTTCGTTTCTTGATCCTGGCTGTCTCTGAAACAGAAAAGGTTAGCGGGCAGGGGGGGGGTCATTGGGGTGGTCACCCAGGGTCAAAAAGTTGGTGTCTAGGTCTTTTGTGTTTGTCGGTCACGTCGGGTACGTAGTCAACGGCTTGCCTGAGGAGGGGATTGTCATGTCTAGCGGCTACGTCAAATCGTTTCTCCGCGTTTTGTCTTATTGTCTGTGTAGCGTTTGTGTATTGTAAGTCTCGTAATATGTCAGTGTTTCTTACGTACCAGGGCGCGTCGGTGGCCGTGCGGAGGGCTATGTTTTCCACAGCCTGTAATGACTTTAAGTGGCTTTTTGCCGCGTGACCCCACGCCGTGGAGGCGTAGGTTAGCTGCGGTTGAAGTACCACCTTGATAAGCGTTCGCTTATTCCTTAAACTGAGGGTGTTTCCACCTTTGAGTAAGGGATAGAGCCTAGCCCTGGTGGTCTTCGCTCGCGCCACCGTCTCCACGATGTGCGGTTTCCACGTGAGACGCTGGTCCATCGTCACGCCCAGGTATCGTGTTTGTCGATTCCAGGAGATAGGTTCCTGGGATAGTGTCAGTCTGTCGAGGTTTTGTGGGATTTTTCGTTTGGTAAAAAGGATAGCCGAACTTTTGTTGGGATTAATTTTGACTTTCCACCTGTTGCACCAGGTTTCAAGTTGGTCTAAGGAGTTTTGGAGGAGGGAGACGGAATATCTAGGATCTACGGATTGGGATGTGATTGTCAGGTCGTCGGCGTATAAGTATATGTTGGTGTTGGGGGGATGTGGGATGTCGGAGTTGTAAATGGTGTATAGGTGTGGGGACAGGACGGTGCCCTGGGGGACACCGGCCTCCATGGGACGGGTGGTGGAAAGGGAATCTTGGATTTGGATGCGGAATTTTCGGTGGTGTAGGTAGGATTTTATGAGTTTGGTAAAGGATATGGGATATTGGTTGGTGAGCATTTTCATCAGTAGGCCTTCATGCCAAACCGTATCGAAGGCCTTTGCGACGTCCAGGAAGACAGCACCAGTGTACTGTCCCCTGTTGAAGGCCGCCGTGATGTGCTCGGTAAGGCGAAGGATTTGGAGTTCAGTGGAGTGATTGGGTCGGAAGGCGAACTGCTCGTCTGGAATGACTTGCAGTTCTTGGGAGTGGGTTCTTAGACGGGTTAGGATAATTTTTTCTACCACTTTGCTCATAGCCGGGAGGAGGCTAATGGGCCGGTAGTTGGATGGGATGGTGTGATCTTTGTTGGGTTTTGGGATAAGGATTATGTTTGCTGTTTTCCAGCGGGTAGGGAAGTGTCTTAGTCTGAGTGTCGCGTTTAGTAGGGCCATGAGGCCCTTGTGTGGTAGTCGTTAAAGTGTCGTGTTATGTATACTGTCAGGTCCATAAACCTAGACTGTCAATTATCACGCTGTCTTTTTTTTTTCGTTGGCAACGCTTACCCCGCACAAATGGCGCAAAATTAAAATCTTGAGTGAATTTTAGAACCCCCGATATATTTTGTTTCCAAGATGACAACAGCAAAAAAAATTGTGACAATAGTTAAACAAACATACTGCATTTATGAGAATTAAAATATTCAGTTGTTTTGTGTTCGCAGCTACTGATATAATAAATATGCTTATATCAATTTCAATCTACTGGTTTTATATATACTGAAATTATTTTATTTTTCATTGCAGAAGCCATTCGACATAATATCAACCCACGAGGCATTACTGGTGAGATTCAGATCCGACGATACGCTAGTCAGCAAAGGATTTAGCCTGGTTTACGAAGCTGTAGAAATGTCCTTTAGCGAGGAAGAAATATGAATTCCTATAAAATTTCAGTTTGCAAGTCCGTACTTTAGTCAGTCGCCATTAGAGGGCATCGCGACCACGATGATACCCTTACCAGTGGTTTTTTGCTCAACATTTACGGATCGAAAACAATTAACTAGCACTAAGTGATATTTGACTTTGACTTATTAAATCAATAGTTTAAAGTCTATTCAACTCTTTTAACTTAGTATTTATTATAAACTTACCGTGTACTTAGCGAATATGATGTAGGAAAACGTATTTGATCGTAAACTGTAGAGTGAATGTATTTCTTAATTATGAAATCAAGTGCGACTTTAACAAACTTCTGATATATAGAAAACTTAAACGAAGTGCCCATATATGAGAAGTTTTACTAGATATTAACGAGTTTATGACGTTCGATTCTCTTAGTAGTTGGAAAAAAATATATAGGTAATAATAAAAGGATCTTAAAGAATAGTCTAGAATGCATCAGTAATTAATGTAAATGTGAATGAATGCGAAGTCGTTTTATCGTTGTAAACCGTTATATACTTCAAAATAATTAGTATACTAGCCGTAAAAATGTGAATTGTACAAATGTTTATTGAATAAATGTGTATTATATGTTTTGACGTGTACAAGTTAGCTAATAACGAATAATAATACAAAACTTTAGTAGTACTGCTTTTATTTTTCCTTTATGTAATCTATAAAAAATTTACGTTTAATAACTTTCTTCTGATAACATTTTCATACAATGCGCTTGTAGCCTTTTAATTTTATTAGGTGCCCAGATTTTTCATTTATTTCAAATTTATCTAAAGTGGGAACCCATAATCACAACCAATTCTTATTCACTTGATTACAGAAATAAAAATATGTCAAAGACAGTTTTCTGTAAGAAACATTTGGCCAATGCCTCCGAAAGTAATGTCGTCTTGTAAATTATTGTACCAAGACATTAAGTAACCACCTGGTACCTATTCTAGTATTTACTGGTGTGTGTAGTCTCGATATTCGCTGTGGAGGTTCTAGAGGTTGTCCATATATTGAACCTGTGTTATGTGATCTGATTCATATTAGCACAGGACACGATAGACTGTTTATACTGTTTATGTCTGCATTCTAGGTCCCCATGATAAAGCTCATTTTTGTTTAGTGTCCTAAAAGGAGATTCGTCATTTTAAGTAACTAATACCTATCTTAACTACAAGAGACCTTCAGTCTTTCTTCTCCATAATTGTTTAATTGAGTCTTCTCATGTTGGTGTCTTCGACTATCTCTTATTGCTGATCCATTCCTTGGTTGATTATACAAGATGTTCAGTTTCAATCAATTAAACTGAAATAAGCAATGAACATAGATAGTCAAACACTTAAACCAACCATTTTGTTTAGACTATGGGACCACCTAAAGTTATATAAACTAAAATTAATTGCATTATTTTTAAAAATATGAAACATCTGGTATTACATCAAATAAGCTATATTACTCTGTTCATGTCTCAGTATGTCAGACTTATTTTTTATTGGAAATCAGTCATTATTACATATTTGTCCATATAGGGTTCTACTTTGATAAACAATGTAATATGAGAAATAGCCTATTTTTAGAAATGATGTAATAATGTTAATTAATTTAACCTTGATCTTACTGCTCCCATTTGATGTCATATTATATCTATAACTAGTTCTATTACTCCAAAAGTTTGACATTAATTTTAATCCCATAGAAAAATATCTCCCAAGATTTTTTTAAAAGTATAAAACCAACTGTAACGTTAGTTATTTTTCATTTTAATCATTTAGGTAATTCCCATTCCTTACATAAAAAATGTTTTACTTAACAAGGTATTATACAGGGTGGTCCAGATTTTAATAGACAAACTTCGAGAAATTACTAAACAGCAAAAATTAACATCACTTTGCTCTATGAACATAGGTGTACAAAACCACCGTTTATGAGATACAGGGCGTTGAAATTAACAAAAATAAAACAATTTTTTTAAATATCTGGAAAACCACCATCAAAATTATCCAAATTTGGTACACTTTTTTTTTAATAATTCTCCTGGTTCCGTATTCATACAGTCCAAATTCAAAAACCAGTGGCGGAGAAACAAGGATATTGTTTCCCTATTTAAAGTAAAACTTCTACGCCACTGAATTAATTGGTAATATGAATACATTTTATAACGGTCTGAAAAAACATTATTTTATTTTTGTCGAAAAGTGAATGGTTTACGAGTTATGAAACATATTATCCAAGTAAACATCTTGCCACCTAGACTAAATTCCGATCTGATTTTAATTTTCTGGACAATAGCCTCTTTCAGTTAATGGAGGACATACCTTTGGACCAACGAATCGGGACCTGGTTTCAAATGGATGGGGCGCCAGCACATTCTGGCCAGGTAGTTCGTGAATGGCTGACAAACAACTACCAAAACAGATGGATTGTTCGGAATGGCCCCATACCTTGGCCACCTAAATCACCTGATCTCAATATTTTAGATTATTTTATTTGGGGGTAACCTAGAAAAATGACGTTTATGCCGTTCCTATAGCAAATAGAGACCAGCTAGTGCAAAGGCTAAATGAGGCCTGCACTAATTTGAAGCAAAATCCAGTTTCAATCAGAGCTGCTGTGAATTCTATTACCAAAAGATGCCAAATCTGCATTGAGTTTGGAGATAGACACTTCGAGCAATTGATTTAATTTATTTGTTTTTCATATAACTTTACTTGTTGTTCGCGTTACTTGAAAGTTGAACTCGACATGTTTGCTATGATAGTGAAAAATGTGTATCAAATTTGGATAAATTTGATGAAGCGGTTTTCCAGTTTTTTTGTTTTATTTTTGATCATTTCAACGCCCTGTATCTCATAAACGGTGGCTTTCTGTGCCTATGTTGATACAGCAAGGTGATATTAATTTTTGTTGTGTAGTACTTTGCCGAAGTTTGTCTATTAAAATCTGGACCACCCAAATTCGTTTTATTTTTCCATATTCAACGGTTTGTTTACTTGGATAATAATGGATAATATGTATGTCTCATAACTCGTAAACCATTCACTTTTTGACAAAAATAAAAGACTGTTTTTTGATCCGGAATGTTTCAGGCCGTTATAAAATGTATTCATATTACCAATTAATTCAGTGGCGTAGAAGTTTTACTTTAAATAAGGAAACGATATCCTTGTTTCTAAGCCACTGGTTTTTGAATTTGGACTGTGTGCATACAGAACTATGAGAAATATTTGAAAAAAAATGTGTACCAAATTTGGATAAATTGATGAAGTGGTTTTCCAGATATTTAAAAAAATTGATTTATTTTTGATAATTTCAAAGCCCTGTACCTCATAAACGGTGACTTTCTGCGCCTATGTTCATACAGCAAAGTGATGTTAATTTTTGCTGTTTAGTACTTTCCCAAAGTTTGTCTATTAAAATCTGGACCACCCTGTATATATCAAAGCAAGTGTTAACAAAGAGAAAAAGAACTAAAAATAAGTAAATATTGTAATCTAATAAATTTTGGCTTCTCTCGTATTCAAGAAATCAAATAGTAACAGTTACCTTATTTGATTTATTTTTTTATGTGTTAATTAATTTTATTATAAAGCAGAAAAATTAACTTTTCTTCTGAATCATATTTTTATAATTACTGAAATATTGTTGGCTACATTTGTTTATAAAAAAAATTAGAAGAATTGGAAGATCTAATAAAAAATGTTTATAGGTACCTACATACTTATATATTTTTAAAAGTAATTGAATCGAAGTCATAATTTTATCATATACCTGCTGGACAATTATTTTTAATGAAATAAATAATTTCTTTTGGTGGTTTTTTATGCATGTCTCACACACACATTTGTTTTGACTTTCCATTCATCTTGTTCCCTTTGTTCTCTAAATTAATACGGCGTCAGACACAACAGGCAGTGTCTTGCCCTGTTTCTTTCTGTTATGTTCTGAGTATTATGATTTAATGAGTTTTGTTTAATCTATGGACACAATTTATTGGATATTTATATTTTCTTTATAAGAAATTATTTTTCTATAAAGAAATACTTTTACCAAAAGAATATAATAAATGGAAAATTTATAAAACTATATTTCCGATAATAGAAAATACAATTTTCGTTTCTTAAGACGAAAATTAAACCGACAAATATATGTTTTATTTAATCAATATACTTATTCAACTGAATTTATGTGAATCTTCCAACGTTGCATTATATGCATTTAATGTCTCATTTTACTTCTTTATTTTGTAAATAACAAAATCAAAAAGAACAGTATAACAAGTAGTTACCTATGAATAAGGAATTTTAAAATATTAAAAACCCTAAGGTGTCGAAATTTTTTAACCCTGCTTTGATCATTAGTTCCTTTTGGAAAATACATATTTGATTTTATTTAAAGAGTTATTTTTCTTAGGTACCTACATCACAAATATCTAAATTTAGTTAAGCAATCTTCTATATTCTTCTACTTAAAATAAACCATAATATACCAAAAACATATTTCTGAATTATGGAGAACACCATTATCAATTAGTAGAACCGACAAGAAATTCTATTTTCCTTACAAATTATTTATTTCCGTTCTCTGAAAACCTTGGCAGTCAGTATGTTCTCAAAATATCTTTGTTAATATGCATTATTTTTTCAATTATTTGTCCACAATAATATGTAGATATATCTTTTCAAAAATATTTTTTACATTATATCGCACTGTAATTTTATTAAATCTCTTCAAACAGTTAATGTTTTTAAACAATTAACTGCGGGGCATAAATGCTTAACACACGATTAAGGACATGCGAGTCATTAATTTAATATATCATGTTAAATTTAGCCTTCAAAGAAAGAGGGCTCTTCGTGACCCAATTCCCATATAATATTCAAACAAAAAATATTCTAAAGCGCGGTAGACCAGAACAAAGCCAAATATGTAGTGGACAACTAATTCCAAAAGACGTATAAGTGTTCGCTGTACGCTTTTGTAATAAGTTATTAATAATTATTAGGTCATTTACTTAAAATATATTCTGAAAAGATCCTACAAATTACAAATGAAAAATTATTGGTTACCGTAGGTCCTATTTTTCATCGTCTCGTCACCTTCGAAGTATTGTCCGTGGGATTCTATATCAGAAATTTTTCCACGATTGGAAATACTCCTGAAAAGCTGTTGGCGTTAAGATGTTTATAAATATGGCGTTTCATTTTTTATTACTTTAGTATAGTTAAAATAATATTTTAATTAAAGTTTAATTTGGGGAAAGAGGAAGAAAACGCAAGCTGCAGGATCCGGCGAATAGAAAGGTGGGAGATAATGATAATGTTTTTTTTTGTTAAAATGGTCTCTGAATGAGTTGATCCACATACAAGTCGGTTGCGCCTGACATTTTCTCCCGTTTTAAAACATTCAATTGACAGTCTCATGGACTGAAACAAACTTCTTGAATGTCTTCGTTGCGTGACTGCTACTCCGCCTGCATACACCTCGTTCATGTTGCTGTTATAATATAATAAGAGTTATTTTAAAACAGGTGCTTCCTGCGAAGGCAAGCACTAGTTCTGCTGGAATCTCTCTAATGTCTAGAGGCAACAGAAATGCTGCCTTCAGGTATTTGTGTATTTTTACTATTAAG